TTTCCTTAGAAATATTAGCTTGAGAGGCTTGTGTTCTTCTTTGGCTGTTTCTCCTATATTGAATCAGAGGTTTAGTGAAACTAATTCCTAAGGTGTTTAACCTCTTTTTAGGAAAAGTCACTCAGAGAAATAGATGAGAACTGTGCTGAGATCTTTCATTAAGCATGCTGTGTAACAGAGGTAGGATTCAGTGACAGAGGACTGGAACAATTTGAAACAACCTTATTTCGAAAACTTCAGTGAGACATTTAAATAATCAGAGTTATTAGAAAATGTTTTAAAAAGAGATACATTGCAATAATTTAAAACCCTTTTATCACAAGGCAAAGGGACTGCACATCTTGCAAGCATTAACAAATCAAACTTAGTTATTACCCTACAGAGTAAGACTTGAAAGACATCTAGCAGTGACATGCAGCATGAATTTTATATTTGCTGAGTACCACATGAATAATCCACTGATTTCTGTAAGGCAGCTTTTCCCAGATGAGTGTATGGCATTTTGGCAGGAGATGGATTTCCTGATTTCCTGTTCTCCCTGCAGTGAATTCAGTATGGCCCAAGCATTTATTTCATCCTGCTTGTGCCACAGGTATTCACATAATCTCAGTTTCTTGATCACAAGAAACATTCAAATGCTGCTTGTGTTATGATGGGCCTCACTACAATGAAGTTCCCTTGAATTTCCAAGTAGTTGAGATGTGAAAAAAAAGAAGATATCCCAGCAGGAAGGCAGTAGTGCAGATAAGTTAGTTCAAGTAGTGTTTGGAACTTGCACAGTTTTGTTTCTGCTTCCTAATCATCAGAAGACACAAACTACTGTTGTAATGCGAGACTTTAAAAAAAAAGAGGAAACACAATTTAACTACCTAAATGAGCTCTACCTCAAGTGAATTAGATGCTGTGTATTTCTACCATTTAGGTAACCTTAGGTACTTATGTATTATTTCAAAAATTAGTTAAGGGTGAAGTTCACCTAAATATTTTTCACTTATTTTCTATCAATAATTAATCAGGAGAAATTTTGTACTAATTTACAAATGTGATATTGCCTAAGAAAACCCACGTACAGAACACCTTCTAGTGTGGGATATCACAAATGTAAAAGCATTTTGGCTCATAGGCCACTTGGCTGTGTTCAACTATTTAATATGAACTATCATGTTGCATAAAGTGCCAGACCAGGAGCTCCCACGGCAATATAATTTTGCAATTACATGACAGGCCATGGATTGAAAATCGCGACTTTTGCAACGACAACAAAACTGGATGCTGTGAAATTCAGGTAATCATTTGTGAGAACCATTTACCTGTAAAAGGAATGTTTTTCTTCCTGCCCATAGTGTTGGGTGACATATTCATTAAATAATTCAATCCAGTCTGTTCTCATAACCATTTAGGTGACCTTCAGAACATCCCCCTTTAGCTGCTTGGAGCCTTTGCTCAGGTTCTGCAGAACCTCAGAGCTACCCAGGTTCCTTAAGCCAGACAGTCACATGTATGCAAAGCACAACTAACAGGTCTTTAATCTGACTCTCATTAAGACAGGAAGGAAAACAAACAAACAAAAAAAAAACAAAAACAAAACCAAGAAAACAAAAAAAAACAACTAAAAAAAGCCCCCAACAGCTTAATTCTGCAGGAGAGACAGGTAAAATTAACTTATACACAGGTATTTATGGTTCGCTAAAGAAGGACAGAAATTTGAGCTACAAGATGGTTTGCTTGAGGTTTTTATGCAAAGGCCATATTTTGCTTCTGCAAGCAAACAAACACGAATTTGGCCTCAAGGCTGTTTATTCAGTGTTTGTGTATCAGCATTGTTTCTGATGCAATCTATTTAGCATTAGGGTGAGATTAAGAGGAACTATCTTAGTTAACTGAAGATGTCACAATGACAAGCTGGATTTCATCCTGCACTAAACAAAGATTAAGATGGCCCTCAGGTACTTGGAAAAAAAGAATTTTTGATGAAGACTGTGTATTCAACAAAAAAAAGCTTAATTAAGAATAAAAAACCCTATCACTGTAAAGTTTTATACCCTCTTTGAAAAAGCACTTTAACAAAAATTTGAACCTCCCTCTGAGTATATGGAGTTTAGCTGAATGTTTGAAGCCTTACCAAATTCCCAATTCTCAAACCTGCTCTGAGGAAAGAGCAAGCATACTCATACTAATTTCAACGTACTTCCTTTATGCTTTCTCAGTTGACCACTTAATAAAAAATTAAAAGAAAACAAAACAGAAATAAGTGCAATTTTTTTCAAAATTTAGATACAGAATACTTCCCTGGATACTTCTGCTCTTTCTACCTCTGTTACAACTGCCAAAGAGAACCTACTGCTGAAGAAAAATGAGCAAAAAATTAGCTCATTCTTTTGAGCTAATGAGGAGTGAATTAAAGGAACATGATAGGAATGTTCACAGAACTGGCAACCTGTGGTTCAAATCCCCTTTCTGGGTGTACCATTTCTAGAGCAAGAAGAAGTAGCTCTGACGGAACAAGATGTTATATTTACAAAAGGCATTCAGGAATTGGTGTGAGCAGCAACAGTTTTGGGAATGGTGAGGAGAGGAAGACTGTAGCAAGGCAGCAGAGCTGAAGAGAAGAATCCCAATGGAAAGCAGTAGGCCAGACTGCAGTACATCAGCTCTATCAACGCATTCTAGATATTCTAGGGAAAACAAATGCTGTAACATAAAATGCTCTTTTACTGCTCACTTAATTCATGTGGAATTGTGGTTTCAATTCTTTTGCTCTCCAATATGTTGAGCAAATGCAAGAACACAGACATAGAAATAAAATACAGGAGTGTTTCCCTTGAACATGTATTAACACTGTTAACACCAGAAAAAATAAACTGGCCTGTGTTCTGCTATCTTGTAATAATAAAGACTATTTAGAACATGTTTGTACCTGTTGAGGAAATAAATTAATGTGAACACGCAAGCCTGGCAGAGGAAAGAATTCTTTTCCAACTTTGTGTCTTGCCTGGTAGCTATTAAAACTTCCCTTTTGAAAATAAATGGTTTGTTTATTTAAGAACAATTATATTACCATTTTTAATTACAACACTTTCACATGCTTTTCATGTGGCCAGAAAGATTTATTGCACAAAAAAAGGCCATGGAAAAGTGGTGGAAATTAAATACAATATTTGCATATTGCTGACAGTATGCTAGATGCTTCCTTGTTCTGAAGAGCATTCAGTCCAAATAAACATATAAGTGCATTAGAAGATGTACAAAGACAGATTTGATTCTTCATTTTATGATTTACAGTATAGAAAATGAGTCAAATGTTATGTCAGAATATGTCAGAAGAACCCTAACTCAGCCAAAAGATTTCATTAGGGTTCTTATAAATAAAGAGGATGGATTTATGCTGCAGTACATAAAAAAGTCTATCATAGATTTTATAAGCACAATCTGTACATTTTGAAAGTCTTTTCTTTTTGCATATGCTAAATATCCAACTTTCCTATATATAAATCCTCCTTATCTTTTATTTTGGTGGAATGTGATCTGCCTTGATACTCTCCAAATTCAGGAGTTACTCTTTCCATGTTCCTGTGAAAAACTAAAGATGTTTTTACAATTTCTACATAAAGGCATTCTGTTTTTTTCCCAAATAATTAAAGCTTTCTCCTCTTAGAGTGAAAAAATAATTTGAAAATCATTACAGGAAATACTGTACAGGGATGTGCTAAAGGCTAGAAATCTCTAGCACAGTATCAACTGATACATCAAGAAAAAGACTGGATTATCTAGAATATCTGGTATTACCACGAAAAGAAGAGGCCTTAAAACCTCTATGCTGCAGATTTTCATTGGCACAATTTTTACATTATAACATGATTTTAGCTGCCTGTATGCTGCTTTTCCTCCACACTTTTTTGTTTGTTTGTTTGGTTTTTTTGTTTTGTTTTTGTTTAGGTGTAACATGATTTATCTTTATGAGTGAGATTGTTTCATAAGAACTCTCTTTCCTCCCTCCTAATTGTTCCAAACATCTTCTTCTCTTATTCCATGAAATTCTCTTAAGGATTCTTTACGAACTTTTGTTTCAGGAGGATGAAAATGGAAGGAAAAATTGCCATGCAATTCAGCTGACCTGTACTCGTAGCAATGTGGTTATACACTGACCTTTACCAAAACTTAGTTTAAATTATGTTAAGCATGATTGAAAGTGGCTGCCATGTTCAAAATTGTATTTGGAGAGAGGGACAGAGAGTGGCAGTTCAAGCACAAAAGCAAAATTATTTTAGGAAAGCAAGTTTAGGTCCATATTCTTTTTTTAACTCTTCATTTGCATCTGCTCAGGAGAAATGGACTACATTTCATTGGATAGCTTTCTAGAGAGTATTCCTATCTTCTCTATAGTGCATAGATTAGTGCAGCAAGCACTAATCAGCAACTCTTGTTTTTACTGGGTATTCGAGTCTATTGTAGTGCCAGGCACAAAAGCTAGGGGTAGGCAAAGTCTCTCTTACCATTATTCTTGTACAAGGAAAATATGGATGTGCAGCTTGAGATGGAAAAAAGCCCGGAGAACCTAGACAAGTACACAGGAAAAGGAGAGGAAGGGACTGAACAGGACATGCAAATTTAGAGAATTGTAAAGTCTAACAGATACGAAAAGAGAGATTTATAGTATCAAGCAGTAAGAACCTGTAAAATAACAGATTTTTGTAGCACATGAAATAGACTTCCCTCTACACATGCCGTCTGTTAAAAGCTTAGCTCACATTAAAATTAGTTGCAGCTTTTGTTAAAACTCCAAATGTCAATATAATAAAGTCCTTTAAGAAAAAGAAAAAGAGAAAAAGAAAAAGAAAAAGAAAAAGAAAAAGAAAAAGAAAAAGAAAAAGAAAAAGAAAAAGAAAAAGAAAAAGGCATTACAGTGACCAAGAAGGAGAATGGCATAATTACCGACTGTAAAAATGTTAGATTGAAATGTTGAGACCAGCCCTGGAAATGCTTCAGATAATCCACTTCTCTATGCTGGATTCAGTTGATTGTATCCTGGTAGCACCCTTCTTTTTCTTCAGTTCCTTGCCTCATCCTTTAAACCTTTTATGTATGGTATGTATACAGCACATACAACCATTGCATCAGGGATTTACAGGAAACTAATTTCTAAAGTCTTGAACCTTTCCAAAGCAAGTATGTTCCATTCACTGAGTAAACCTTATGCTTCTATTTGAGTAGAGTTTTTTTAATTGTGTAAGTACATTCCATTTTCATTTTTGAGACAGCACAGTAACAATACTTTTGTTTTTAAGGGTGAAAGGATTTGGAGTTACTGTAAAGTCAAAAATATTCCATATTAATGAAATGTCCTTATTCCTAGGTGAACACTTGCCTTTTTTAAAAGAAAAACTGGACTCATTAGCATTAATATTTGTATCTAAAGGTTCATAGGCTAGCTTGTCTTTTTACTTACATCTCATAAAACTACTGGTTGCAGAGGAATTATTCCAAATTTATACATGCATCGATTGAGAAGTAAAAATCTGCCCATTTTAATTTGGAATGAATTTCCTAAAAGATTAATTAGGTGAATCATGTTAATAGAATATTTAAACAATATTACGTTCAAAGTCTGCAGGTCTGACCTTCATAACAACGGATTTTAGGGAATACCACCACCCATGCCAGGTGTACCAAACAATCCCGTTGTCTGTCTTGGCAGTGTAGGGACCGCGGTAGTACAAACCATTCAGGTTGGCAGAGTGACACCTGGTGGGAAAGTAAAGGGAAACAGCAATAAGGCCTCCTGCTGAAAAGTTATCAAGCATCTGTTATTTCTCTGCGAGTCAAAACTTATGCCATGTTGATGCCAGCCTAGTTTGACAGCTGCATGAATTTGCATTTGTGGATTCTGTGTGCGTAAACTACAGTGGTTGAATTATGGAAGAACTGCGAATGTTTTATGCTTCTTTTAACCAAAAGTGCTACTTGTTCTTTCCATGTTTTCTGACATTAATACCTCTTGGAGTTTTTCCTGCTAATTTGTTTCAGTGGAAAATTCTTCCAGAGTTGTTCAGCATGGATAACACACCATACTCTGAGAAAGAAATACTTCTGTGTTTTTCTGTTGTCCCTCCTTAAGTTTTCCAGTTACACCACATAGTATTTTGTATGACAAAACCTGAATACCACCATCAGTTTGCCTATCCACCTGTGGACTTCTATTTACAAATAGATCAATTCTGACAGCTAATTCCACGTGTACCAATTCACTGGATCACCGGAGCTGGCATTTTATTTGACTATACAAAGGTGAGGGGATTTTGTTGTTTTTTAACAGGCTGAGGCAGAAATGCAGTTATAGTTTATTAAATACAGAGGTTGAAACAAAAAAAAAAAACCCTAGCAAAATCCAAAAGGCTTGAAAAAGAAACAGCACAACCTTGATACTTGCTGGTTTCTGTGAGAAACAAGTTTAGTTCTTTATGTGACCATATGGAGAGCACACTGGCTGTTCCTTTTGCAGCACATTATGATGAATCACCTTGGTTTATCTGACAATTCAGTATTTCATTATAAATGCTGTTAATATCTAGCTGTGGAACACCATGATGGATTCCAAAAGCAGACTTCAGAAAGTATGCAAACAGAAAACATTCCAAATAAACCTTATGAGTTTTGTTACTGGAAAATCTTAGTCTTTCTGGCTTTGCTTACACTTTATTAACAAAGTTTTGAGAACTGAGATAAAAACTATGAGAAAAACTCCACAGGAAAATTCTAATCTATATATCCTTATTTATTGCTCACAGTTTTTAAAGTCAGTTTTGATAATGTGTTAATTGAAAGTTTATAAATTGTGGACATCAAAAGTAAGTTTGTTTTTTAGACTGACAAACTTGTATCAGAGCTGACATAATCTTTCTAATCATACAAATTCTGCAATGAGCAGGCACTCTGCCTACTTTGAATCAAAACACAGATTTTATTAAAAGAATCATAAGAAGGCACACCATAATTTTGCCAACAGCAATATGAGCTAGTAAAAAGTCTTAATTAGTGCTGGGAAGCATGAATAGTGAAAATTACAGTATTTAGTATCCAACTAGATGCTGTCTGAAGTAACTGTACATACTAAATTAACAACTGGCATGTGATGGTTGATATGATGTTGTGAAAAAACATTCATTATTCACGAGTCAATAAATACTTTAAAGTTAGGTTGTGTTCCTCTTTTCAATAGGCTAATACAAAGTTTAAAACTACACTGCAATAGTTTCAAAAGTACAGCAAACTCTCAACTGTCCATGAATATTATGTATTAATTATGTGACAGGTATGGAGAGATGGGAGTTGGTTCCCTGAAGAACCCTTTGAATTCTGTCTGGATTTACTGACTCCACTGACCCCACATGAATGTAGTTATGCAGTCTCTGGGATGACTGGTGAGGCAGAAGCTTGAGTTAGTGATATCTGGCCCCAAGGTGTGGGTAACAGATCTCTGTTACCATCCAGACATGGTATAACTAAAACTGGGAGTACTGGGAGAGAATAAGTTGATGTCCAACTGGAATTGTTCACTCTCACTACTTATGAACCTACTGAGCTTTGCAATGCCCTGGGTGTTGGAAAGCTTGTGACCTGCAGGTACTACCAGAGTGAACCCAGCTCTGTGGATTTACATTCAAGATAAAAATCCCTGCTAGAGCTTTGCTTACAAAAGGGGCCATTTTTCTGCAGAAGTCCAGGATAACAAATGCTGAGCTGGAGAAAGACGGGTGACTTTAAACTAGCTCTGAGCTACTTCCATGTGGCCTCACTTGTGTCACATCCCTTGGTTTTCATATTATCTGGACTTTTCTGTATTTCATTAGTCCTGATAGCATAGAGCTGGCTATAAACAATTCCTTCATAGCTGGGAGCTCTTATGCAAACCAGCCAAGAGCACTAATTCCTTCTATATTTGCTAATCTGTGCATGACAAATATGTGTTTCTGAGTGTTTTCCTTTCTCTGCCAGTACTGTTCTTTTGAGTAGGACTTAATGATACTGACATTTTCTAGTATTTTGCAATTTTCAGTTTTATGTTAGGCTGAACATTAAAAAGTCAACAACAAAGCAGTGAAATAACATTATTAGTAACTCATTTTCATTCTCAAGCTAGACTGTCACTTTAAGAGCATGAGCTACACGACCATAATAAGAACTAGCCTAGTAGGAGTCAGCTATCTTTAGAAGTTATGTAGCACCAACTACAAGGTATAAATAACTGTCAAATTCTGCTGTGCGGCTACTTTTGCAAAGTGGTCATTCTTTTGTCCAGATCAATATAAAAAAAGTTTTTAAAAGGCAAAAAATTTATTCAGTGGTCTAAAAGTGATTAGTAATTCAGTCTGAATGAAATCCATGTCATAATATAATTTTTATGTGATTTGAGGTTCAGATATCCCTTTAAATCTATGGAAGTTCTGATTTCATGGGAAAAGCAGCTCCAACATAGTTGCCTTTCCCTTTTATATCTTAGCTTTCCTGAGAAATGCAAAAAACATTTGTCTACATGTGACTCTTTCTAAGTCTCAAACATTCTGCTGACTGGCTATACATGCAAATATATTATTATTATTATTATTATTTATTAAAATATGTAGTTAATTGTGAGTTAATAGCTACATTATATCAGCTAAGGTGGTCACAGACTACTTATGAAAACAAAATTTGGCAAATGAGGAGTTAAAAAGAGAAACAAAGGATGACACAACAGAAACAATGGAGTTGATCCAGGCTGGCACCTCTTGCCAAGTGAATTGAGATCACAGTGAGAGAGTAGTATGCCTCCCTGAGCTGTATTTTAAACCTCTCTATTACACAGCTACATTGCAGAGTTTCTCTTTGTGGCTATATTTATCTAATTAATTACAGGAAAGAACATAGCTGATCTGTACAGGCTAAGGCTACCGGTTTTATCCTTTCTTTTTGATTTGGCATATTGCATGTAAGTAGAATTTTTAAATTCTGTTATTGAGCACTATTTAAAAAAATCTTTCGCTCAGTCCAGACATGCACACTGACAGAAACTGAGTGGACATGTTACCATCTCCATTTGGAAAGAATAACAAGAGTGAGACACTGTGAAGTGAGGTGAAAAAAATGAGTCTTGATAACCTAGCACTAGTTTAGCTTGTCAGATATTTGCAGTGCTGCCACATCTGGTCTAGAGCAACACAAGAGTGAAGTACAGCAGAGATATATCTGCAAAATCTACATGACCTACTTGTGTAAAAACTAGTTACCTCAGAGAGGCAGAATTATCTCCTCCTCACTGCCTGATAACAAAGACGACCTGTGGCAAATGCCACTATCACAGACCAGTCTGAGCTGCACAGCTGCCTGGTGCTGTCCCTTCAAAGGTGAACCTCAGTCTTACCAGCAGTGAGATCTCTGCTAGGGGACAAGGGCACATTGCAAATAAATGAACAAACCAAATCTATCTTCTACTGTATGTTATTATTTTATGAATACACACAGAGCACAATAGTTGACTGTACCCATATAAAATCAAAATACCTGTTAAACCACCAGCCAGCCTTTTCCTCTTCAGCACAGTTCCCTTCATAGTTGTCATTATCCCTGTCTCTAGTACTGAATTTCATTCCTCGATGATCAGCCCACCATTTTACTTCAGGATGAAATCCACCAGCAAGGGAATCACCAGCTGTACCAGAGTATTCACCACAACTCATCTCATAAGAATGCTAATGAAAAATGTGAAGAAATAAAAAAAAAAAAAAAAAAAATTCCACATGTCAGACAGTGAAACCACAAAGAAGAACCTACTCTGTTCCATTTGCTGCTATTTTTATGCTAAGAAATGTCATGCCATTTAAACATGATGACCTTAATAATGAAAGGCTGTAAAGATGCTTAACAGGGACAAAATTTGTCATTAACCTTATGTATAAAGGACCTAATATAAAAAACATTAGGACTAGTTTGCAGTATATATTAGCAAATTAGAACATCTTGTACCATTATTGTTGGTAATATAAAAAAAAATAGAAAAACTGCTTTTATCCATGTCTGCTAAACCAAATGATTCATATCTCTTACAGAAAGTGTGAAATTAATGTATCAGAATAAACCACTTTTATTAGGTATTTGAAAATTATAAGCATAGGGAATCTGTATGTTTATTGTTTGTCTATAGAATCCACATTTTCATTAAAACCTTTTCATTTAATATTTTTATTACCTCTTCTCCTGCAACTCTGAATCTTTCATACTGTGCAAAACGCCGTTCTCCTTCAAAATCAGTTAGATCAATTCTTAAAGTATAATTCCCTTTAAAAAAATACAAATTATTTTAGTTAAACTAGTTAAACTATCTCACTACTTTTCAGAATTGGGCATTACAGTAGAAAATTAAAAGAAAATGTTTTTATCATGAATCTCTATTACCTCAGCATAATTTATGGGATTTTATCTTTTTTCTCTATGCGTACTAAAGCATATATTGCTATTCTTTGCCTTTTTCCACCTGAGTCAGTTTAGAAAATTTCAGAATTATTCCAAGACAAATTTTCAAATGTAGGAAAAATATTGTAAAAAAAGATGGCCTTAAAGATTTTAGTACAATATTTGAGGTGGTAATGGAAGTATAGTGAAAATTGATCAATTGATCAATGTAAACTAGATTTTTATACCGAAAATAAAAGATTTATACTAGGATCACATCCTGGTGGCACTGATTTCCATAGGATTTAGCTAGCTAAGCTAGTGGATAAGTTTTGTATCTGCAGCATTCTACAACAAAGCAGAAGTTAGCTTACATTGAGTGACTATTAGAAAGATGGAAATAACTTTCTACTACTGGCCTAATGAACAAGTCTGGACTAGAATTACTTCCATGTAATAGCCCACACAGCTAAAAAGCCCGGATAAAGTGTCTTGGTACAACATATACCTGTCTCTGGACTGTCAGTGATGCTGATGGAAAACGGATAGAGACATTTCTTTTAAGGTTGTCTCCTGTTCCCTGTTTCACAGGGGCTCTCAGTATGCCACTGGCCTAAATTTCGTTTTGAACCTTTTGTTAGAAAACATATATTCAAATGTGTTTTTTTCTGAAACTTAGAGAAGTCCATGCAGCCGAACAACAGAACTCGGGATTTATGGTAACAAAAAGGGGAAACAAAAAAATGGCCTGGAAAGAGTAAAGAAACAGAAACAATAAGACTATTGTTACAATGCAAATCTTACCTTGATTAGTCAAATAATGAAGATTTTTGTTTCCAAGCCAAAATTCACCATTTTTCGAAACAAAATTTCCAAAGCCTTCTTCATAGTCAGCCCAGACTCTGAAAAGGGTATCAATTACTAATTTCTCAAAAAAGCAAGTTTGTTTGGATGTTTCATAATACAATTTTAGATCACAGACTAAGTCAAAGTGGAAGGAACTTGAGGAGGCAAGCTAGCCCAGTGTCAGTCTCAAGCCAGAATCAGCCATGAATCAGACCAGGTTGTTCAGGGCTTGTCCATTCAGACCTTCCAAGGATGGAGAGTGCACATTCTCCTTGGGCAACCGGCTGACTCTTTTCATGGTGAAAAAGCTTTTCCTTATATCCAGTCTGAACCTCTCTTGTTTCAACTTTGGTACTTTGTTTCTCATCCTCCCACTAGACACATCTGTGACGAACATTTTTACTCAAAGACATCTCAGATTGCTTACATATTAATTGCGGAAGACAATTTAGTCCTTTCCTCGTCATTAAAAGTCCTTGCTCCAAGAGTTGTTAATGCATTTGACACTGAAGTGTCCACGTGTCAAATGCACAAGTTGTCAGAAAAATATTAGAACGGATGTCTCACAGAAGACAGCCAGAACCAGAAGTGGTATCTCATCTGGAGGCTGTTCCACAGAGTAACCATTCCTCCCTTTTATCTGGGATAACAACTCACTCATGTACTTCTAAAGTTCAGATTTAGCTTAGCTCCACGTGGTTTAATGTTTCTTCACTTTATTTCTAGTTTTAATTACTAAGTCTAGTACCTACCTATCAAAATTCTGGGTGCCATCAGAACGTCTCTGAAACACAGTCCAGCCGCCTCCTTCAGACATGTCACAGAACGCAAGGAATTCTCTAGGACTCTGGATTGGTTTTATTTTATAAAATCCACTTTGCTTATGGCCTTCATTGTAGATGTCTGCACAATCTGTTCATACAACATTAATTGGACACAACATTTTTAGTCCTGTACTTACTGGCAAAATCAGAAATCAAGACAATAACAGCAATCAAGTCATGTTATGCAGAAGTCACATATAAACCACACTAAAAAAATGAAATGTCTCTGCAAACACATTTCTTTGACTTTTGGGTTTTTTTTTTTGTATTTGTGTTGCTTTAAAGCTTTGCTGGGCTGTAATTATTTTGATATATCTTTGAAATAATATCTTCCCACCATGAAATATTATAATTTTTGTTTCTACTTGACGAGCGAAATAATTCCTCTAAGTGGCGTCACTTTTAATTAACAGTGGAATCATCCACATTAGAATCCTGTTACAATCATAAAACTACATGTAAGACAAGCAGTAACCTTTAAAAATAAACATGTACTGGTATGTCCAGAAAGTTCACAGAAGTGCCAGAAACAAAAGTATGGAATATCCAGTGTTAAAAACAGAAACAATTGCAAGGCCTGATTCTCCTGTCCCTTCTACCAAATAGGTGCAAAAATATACAGAATACTATGCCCAAAAAGTACAGTGTATGTGTAAAATGATACTTTGACTTGGTACCATTCACAGTGTGGTCTGCATTGCTGTTGATGAATATCATTTGCAACAATAACAAAATTCAGAGCTCATGGAAATATTACAGCAATGTAATTGTATAATCTTATATTTTTTCCTCTAGGAATTAAGAAATGAAAGGAGTTCTTTGTTTATATGTCATCTACCATCAGGCAGACATATAATTTTCAGCATTTCTGTTTTTCCTGGATAAGGTAAAGCTGATTAATGAATTCTATGAGTTGGCTGAACTTCCAGGCCTGGTTGGAACTTCATGAACTATTATATTTCTTTTCAGTGAAAGTGTCAGTGAAGATTAGACATAGAAAATAAACACTTTATATTGAAAACAAATAGCTATGCCAGAATTTGAATAAACTCTATTAGAAAACATTATTTAAATAACAGTTGTCTTCATAGAGAATGTGTGATTGGCTTAGAGAAAATAGCTTTTCTTGTCCATTAATTTCTTAGTAGGTTAGCAAAACACAAGCATATCTTAATTTTTAGCAGGTGTATATAGTAGTGGGATTTACCCCTCAGTATCTAACTCAAATTATCCAGCTCTGTTGATATTAAAATGCTACAGCAGTTTGAGAAAATAATGCAGTATGAACAGGGAAAGGTATTTTCCAAACTCTAAAGAAAGTGAAAAAATAATGGGAGGAAAAATAAACTGAAAAGGGAGCAAGTTAGATCTGGTTTTTAGAATAACATTGTAAAAGAATAAATTGAGGCATATGCTAAGAAAGGACAAATACCTTTCAGAGAAATGTGGCTTTAATAATCTTTTCCAGTAACAAATGAGTCAGTCCTAATAATAAAAATAAAGTGTTCCAGGATGCTGAGTGCATAGATACACAGCTAAAATTTAAAGTCAGATTTACAACTGCTTTTAATTTCATTTTAATGGTGTTTTATTATATTTGATGCCTTGGGATCAAATGTTATACATATTGCTATTTCTTCCAGGAGCATAAGCACTGCAACCATATTCAAATAAGGCTATTAAAATAATAGTAGTTAAGATTTTCTAGCACTGGACAGCTAGAAACAAACACCACCTAGAACTCAGACTCCTAAATTGTATTTTCAATCTAACTATTGTTTTGGATGGTGTTTTATTATATCAAAAGTTTGCATGGTGTTTTATTATATACTGCAGCTTCTACACTGTAGAAGGAGTGGATCACCACCAGAATGTTGGTGAAATTAGAAAAACAACTTTAAACCAGTATTTTAAAAGCTGTGATGTCATGAGCTGAATCCAGCTCAGTGAAAATGTTATTAAAGTGAGATGCAGATGTCATTATGCCAGGCTTATGTGTGTAAACATGGATTCTCAGGGACTTTAAAGATTGGAACAAAGACAGTTGCTTGTAACCCAGGCAACCATTTGAATGTATGAATCTAAACTAACCCTGTTAGATTGCTAGAACTTCTGACATTAATCAAAGAATGGTGTTTAGATATCTGTAACTCCTGATTAACATTTTTAAAATGTCTATTATTGGCTTTTATCTGTTGTATTGCTGATATTTATGCTTCATTTATTGCCCACTGATTTTTTTTTAATTATGCACTATTAATAAATCAGTAAAATTCTTAAATCCTGATGTAATTTCTACCATCTGACATTAACAATTTTACCCTGCACACCAGGTCCTGGTAAAAACAGAGCACTGTGTTTTAAACAAACATTCTACGATGAGTTTTTAAAACAATAACTCAATAGGCCCAATTGTGCTAAAGCTTCTGGGTATCATTACAATGAATGGAAATGAAAAGAATAGCTTCATTTCTAACCTGAATACTGTCTTTTTCCTCTCAAGTCAATGACACTGTTTTCATCTTCTCTGTCACTGTACTGAATCTCTTTCTTCTCTAAGAGATGAATGATTTTTAACTGCTGTTGTTTCACACGATGTTCCAGAAGCCTCACCTGGCCCTGAAGTCGTAACTGCTCTTGAAAACATTTCTGTAAATCCTGGAGAGGACAACACATCTTATTGTAAAATGAACAAATTGCTTGTGATATTTAACATGTGACACAAAGAGCCAACCAACCAAACCATAAATAAAATTAAATTTGAATAAATCATTTTGGTCACAATTTCCCATAGGCACTATGTTGACTTCCATCTCAGTTGCTAAGTTGTTTTAAATTATTTCATATGTTACTGCATGTAATATATAAAACATACATATTATGAACACTTGGCAAAGAGGCTTTCTTTTTAGTGCTACCAATCCTAACTGCAAACATGCAGTGGGGACTTTAGGGAAAAACACTATAATACAGGCCCTATCATAACAAGGCCCTATCTATCATCTTCCATGCACAGACATTGTCCATCCAGTGAAGCCTGCTACTAACATTGTGAAAGTTCTAAAGAGTTTTAAAGAAATGCAATCCACATGGATATGTTTCCGACTTCATGGTACATTTTTTGAATGCTTTTAAATTACACACTTCTTATAATAAGAATCCTAACATTGCCAACATAAATATTGTTAAGTTTTAAGCTCCTTTTCGGCATGCTAAAGTAGTCCCTAAGAAGCTGTGAGAAGAGTTAAAACAAAAGTTGAAGTCAATGTTGTGCTTTGACTTGTGTACTTAATTTTGCCATGCAGAGTGGGTGAGAAATGTGGCAATTCTGACACAGTGTTGCCTAGCACTCACTTGACCCTCAAGAGCTGGAATAACTGTTCCAAATTCTGACATGCTGAATGCATGCAGAGCAATAAATAACCGGTTTTAAATTAAAGACTATGGTAAAATAGCCAAAGTGAACAGAACTGGATGTGGAGAACTTAAATTAAAACAGTCTGTATGATTTAAAGTATATATTAAATAGACTTGATTTTACTGTGAGGGGAAAAAAGCCTTTGGAAACATGATGCATGTTTTGCATCAGTAACACTGAAATTTTATATAAGCAGCGTTCAGTAGCTTGTAAAAGAGCACAACTAGCACTATAAAGGCAAAATCAAAGGGTGACTTTCTGGAAATCTGACATATGAGATCAAATCTGCAGTAGTTCTAAATTGGTGCTACCTTATTCATAGGGAACATTATTTACATGTAATCCTGCAATATTTGCCATCCATATGGAAGAATTGATATCTCAGAACATTGTCTTATCACACTAAACTATAGAAATGCCTGCAACAGCATAGTGCTGTGCATAGTGAGGTGAACCTCAGCGGTGTCTGCATATTTCCGTTTGCATCAAGCTCAGGATTCACCCATTGTCCATAAACACTTCCAACAAATTCTTCCATTTGTCTGCAATATTTAGTTACACTGAAAAATTTGATCATAAGACTGTGCAGAACAATCCTGAAGACAGACTTCTGCCTTAAGTACTACTGAAGCGTATCAGAGACTTGCTTTAATTCATACTTAACTGCAATCTAAAATACACTGTGAAATAAAAGAATGGGGGAAAATAGACATACATAGGTGGCATAACTAGGCAGTTTGGCAGGAAAGGTGTTTGGGCTGCCCATGTCGGGCAGCTCGGCCGGCTGTAGGCGCCCAGCGCCGAGCCCCGTGCTGGCCCAGGAGCTGCCCGGCCGCCGTGGCGATGCTTGGCCACAAGGGGACGCTGCAAGGCCAGAGGCGCATTTCCCAAACACCTTTTTTAGAGGGACGCAGCAGTAATATCCCGAATGACCCACTAATATCCTGAAAGTCCTATCTTACTTAAGAACCTTCCCTTGAAAATCTTTTTTCAGTTGTTGATAGCTATACGAGATGCCTACCATATCAATCTTTTCTTCTAGCTGGAAACAAAACTATTTTCTTAATTAAAATACATGGACATACAAAGTTACTAAAGTGGCTTAGAGGGATGATATTTGACTGTATACACTGGTTAATGTGGGATATGTTACATATTGCAAAGAAAAGATGCACTATTTATTGTGCAGCCTTTCCAGGGTGGTTGTCTCAATTGTGTCTGTAGTTTTATACAACCCTTTACAAAAGCTGAATTTTCTATTTTCTGGGAATGAATTCAGTAGGAGATTCAGAAGAGGCTTCCTTGGCAGGTGTCTGCAAATTGTCAGTCTAGTCCTGTGTGAATACAGAAAATTATGGAGGACTGCAGAGCTTTAGAATGAGAGAGAATGAGGTGCACAGGTAGATTGAGAAAGAGTGAATACATTAAAAAAGTATTGAAAAAAATACTTCCAGGCTCACCCTGATGAGCTAATGCTAGCTACAAAAGAAAAGCTGTCCAAAATTCCCATTTTCCCAGTCAGACTAAATATTTATTCTAATCATACTAAGTTAAGAATGATAAAGAAGCCACCATGTCACAGTTACCACTTTTACTGAGAAGGTTAGCCTTTACCAGTCTTAACTCAGTCCTCATAAGCTTGGAGAACATGGTAAAATGCAATAGGAGAGACCTGGAAATGGTGGCCCCATTGCCAGGCCCCTGCAATTTCATAGACAAGACTTCAGGTGGGCAACCTCTCTGACACGTGGCAAGATCTGAGCCACAAAGAGCTACCTTCCATTCTGGAAAGAGCAAGGGGCAGTGCATTTGAAGAGAGGTAGCTACAGGCAGCTGTGTGGGTTTCTTTCAGGTGAAAGAAACGCCTTTATCAGTTCCCCTTTCATACTGCTAAAAGCCATTCTCCTGCTGTGATTAAATTATATAGTACAGGTATAGAACTTTTGAACTTTTGAAAAAGTGTTCTCTTACCTTAGAAAAACTTGGTATCTAAATTCAGTATGACACTACATACACCACAATAAAAGGTCCAAATTAAACACAAGTCTGCAACAGGCTGTCTCTCTAAATATTATTCTTAAACTTGTATTTAAAATCCATATTTTGTTATTTTTATTAAAAATTATGAAATAATTCATAAAAATGAAAAACTAACTATAAGCTGATTCTCATCTGTTTTACAGACAATACACTCGTGGGGTGAACAGTGATATATCTACACTACACATAGCAATTTCCTAATTTAAAAGATTTAAAAGGTTTTAAGCTCTTAATGCTTAGGAAGTGACAGTAAATTAGAAGTGACAATCAAGACATGACTAGCCATACTGAATAATTGCAGCATAAGAGAAAGAAAAAAAAAGGTTGAACAGAAATAAAGTTTTGAAAGTAACCTACATATGAAAAGTACTGGTATCTGATACTTTCTCTTCTCTCCCTGACTTCAGCTTTCTCATAGATGTCTCCCTCTGTCAACTTCAGATAAATCCCATTGGACTTTGCTGCTGAGCAGCAAAACCACGGTTCTCATATTTGGAATTCCATGTCTATTTTTTCCATGGGACAATCACAAGGTAACTGCAAATTCAATTGGATCAATGTGGCTTTTCGATCTTCAGTTTACCAAACTGTTTGTTCAATGTGCTGCAAAAATTTTATTCACTGGATAGTCCTTTAAAAACTATCAGAGTTAAATCAGTACACAGCTGGAGTAATAAAGAAGCAAAATGTAAATCAGGGGTCTAAATCAGGAGCTATAATATATTGCTATTTCATTTGTTAGATGTGGACCAAAGTTAAACCATTACAATGTGGAAATACTCAACAAAATGTGGATTTTACTGTGGCTGTCTCTAGTGGAAAGTGGTGCCCACTGACTGAAACCAGACTGAACACAACCTGTTCTGTCTGTCTCAGTGAAGCAACTGTTTTCACTACACATTGAGAAGCAATTATCTAACAACTGCTGACAGCTCTGCTTTTGGGCACACAGTCCTACATTTAACCAGCTGCTGCAATTAATGTGCATTCACTTTCATTATTCTGTGAATTATTTAGCAGTCAGTGACCTTCCATTACAATTACTGCTACAAATTAGACTCGGAATACTTAATGAAAACTATAAAAATAGTTTTTTCCCTTGGTGCTATTTCCTATACTTTTTAGAATATAAATTAGGGCCAAAATATCACTATATTGAGATTTAATGAGATTAAAAGGTGAAAACTTTGAGATGAAGTTCTGAATATTCCCAGTTTTTACTCTAGTTAGCTAAAGTCCACAATATTCAAAATGAAAACTATAATTTAATTTTAATAATTAAAAAATAGGTAAATGCATTTAACTGTGATGCATCTTTTCTCAGTAGGCCTCTGCAGAAAGAGGCACTCTTTTTCTCCACTGAGCAGAAGTGATTACAGAGTCAGGTGCTTGTCATTCTGCCTCTATAAAGCTACTTATTTGAATGAAAGTTTTCTATAAGGTAATGTAAGCCACAAACAATAGTTGAAAATTCAGCAACCACTTCCACCTAGGCAATTATGAATCAATAATTCAATCCCTTTAGTCTCTGCTATTTAGGGCCTGAATATAAAACTAGAAAGGACAGCCATGACATGCAGCTCAGGATTGGTGAGGCTAGAGGTATTTTAAACTGTGGAGTAAGTGTGATTTTACTAGGGTTTTTGTTGGAGAAACAAAATAGAGAAGGTTTTGGGAGCTTGAGGTGAAGGAATTTTGATCATTGTTTCTGTGTGTGAACTATAATGTAGTTACATGGAAACAAGTAAGAACATGAAGTTATGGATCTTCTGAAAAAGTTGTATGGCAAGTGGACAAGGTGGAAAAGGACAGAAACATTCTGCATAGCAGGTAACAGTGATCAGAAATACCACTGCTGCAGCCACTGCTTTAGGAGTTCCTGTGCTTTGCCCTTCTGTAACTATGCTGCTCAAAACTATAGGTGTTACTCTGAGTTAGCATCACCCCTGAATGGCAGTATAACCATCCTGTGTGCCTTCTGTACAATGTGTCTCCATGCACCATATGATATCTGTTTTAGGAAAGATGTATTGTCTCCTCCTTCATATCAGATCCAGTCACAAACTGACTGGATTTCTTTCTTCGGTGCCATTGCTGAGAGATTGATCTTCCATTGTAAATTTATGCATTTGTTTCCTCTTTCCTCATTGGAAACTTGTCCCCACTGAACACCATTTGAAGACATTTCCTCATTCTTTAATTTTTTTCATGAATTCTAATCTTTTCCATCAAATGTTCTGCCATCGTGTGTAGACTATGGAGGTGTGTCAGCACTGTGGAGGGGATGTGCATTGTGAGCACTATGGGGGATAAGGTGTGCAGTATTTAAAAGAAACTCTATAGAAAAATTTAATTACTAGAACTTACAGAGCTGCCAATGACATCCATCAAGCTAGCTGCAAGGATAAAATCAATCATTATCAAAATCTTCATTTTGGAAGCTGTGAAGTAGAGGAACAAAGGAAACACTAGTTAACTTAAACACAAAAACTAAAATTTACACTTCACATCTCAAATCTTAGACATCTCAAAAGAGTCTATTTAACCTACAATTCTTTTCTTGCAAATTGTAAATATGTATATGCAGGATTCATTACAAATATCTAAAATAGTCTGATAAAATACAGCTCCAAAAGCCAATAAAATGAGAATTTATCCTTTTACACCACTTTGCATTAGAGCTCTCCATGTATTTTACGACAGCTATTCAAGATTCAAACTCACACATTTTATTTTCAGGACAAATGCAAAAAAAACATTTAAAACAAGGTGAAAAACAGGGAAATATTCCTTGTGGATCCTTTACATTTGTGAGAAAGCTTGCTGTCATAGACAAGTAATTAAAATCTAAACTGGGCTAGTTGTCCTTGATCTAAAGATTAGTGCAAATTTTGTGCACCAGGAGAGGATCAAGATAACTTTACTGTCATAGAGTCATTTGGGAGAAAAATCCAAAATAGTTATCAGCTTTTATTCTAATGGTGACAAGGATATCTTTAAACTGATAGTTATGGATACTTTGTACTGTATGACCCATAGCATTTTAAACCCCAATTTTCAATATGAAAACTATTTTATAGGTCAAACCCATCACCACTGTATCTCACTGCCTTGCAAATGTTAGCTGATAGAACTTCAAAATTGTTTTGTAAGACAGATCTGTGCTTTTCATAGAGGAGAAACCAGAGCCTCCAAACAGTAAAATATTTACACAGATTATACATAAACTATTCTGAATTAATTACTTAAACTTCTGCAAGCTATCAACTGAGGAATCTTTTATTTTCTTTTGTAACTATGACTGTTTTCATTTAGCATATGCTAACATCTAATGAAACCAGAATATGTATCTACTCTGCTTTTCCTACCACAGAGTTATTAATGAAAAGATCTCAAAGATCATCGAGTTGAACCATTAACTTAATACTGACAGGTCCACCACTAAAGCATGTCCCTAAGCAACACATCTACATTTTTTGAATGCTTTCAGGGATGGTGACACATTAAAACATTTGTGGTTAGACAAAGTGTGAGACTTATAATAGAGATTAATGATTCAATACCAGCATGTGTTTATTGAAACACCAACTTTACGAAAATTTCCACTCATGTTTCTACAGAATTCATATAAAACATGAGTGGAACTTTGGCAGACTGTGATTTTTACAATACAAAGATAACCAAAGTGCTTATGAGAAGTATGATTTTAAGTTCGTGCAAAATTGGAAAAGTCCCACTTTATTTTCTCCAATTTCTGAAAACTTCACGCAAGACTGGAAATTACAGCCCAGACAAATCACAGATTTCAACACTTACCTATAAAACACTTATGATGCTTTTTAAAATTACAGCTATTTAAGTAATTAACATTGGTTTGGTGTTGGTTTGGTTTTTTTCACTTCTGAGGTTTCCTGGTTTAAATCATTATGTCTGAAAGCATAGTTTTGAGGCCCAAGTGTATTTGTATAAAGCTCATCACATCTCTTGCACAGGACTGACACAAAGTGTTGCGGGTATTGTGTACCCACTGATCCATGTTACATCATTCAAAAGTCTTTTTAAGTATTTTGGACATACATCTATCATTAAGCTGAAAAGCACTATACTAAGCTAATGTCTATCTCTGAAGATTCCAAAGGAATCCATTAAAAATTACCTGCAAAATGTTTATTGAGTGAAAATGTGAACTGAAAATCTTAGGCTAAGTTATTTCTATGCCATAAGTTTCTGAATTTAAAACTGCAAATTTTTCTTCGTGCTAACCAAATAAATGTTATACTGTTTGAACTAGAAACTTTATGAGAATTCAGAACAAGTTCTGATTTTGTTTGAAGGGGTAAATCCTATGAACTACAGCCTTAAAAAGTGAGTGGTAGTAGTGTGTGTGTGAGGAATCTGCAAGAACTGCTTGACAATGAATTGATTATTTAAATGTCAGAGGTTTCTGTCATGATAAAACATGCACTTTCATCTTATAACATTAGTAATTATAGATATTACAGTCACTTCTGTTTTGAAAGCAGCTGTTGCCATCTGTTGGGATGACACTGTCTGTGACAGGAGTGACCAAAGAGTACATCTGGAGAGCCTGCAAATGATCTGTCTCTGCTAACTGCTGTTCTGAATCTTTGCATACTTTAAATATGTTTTCTAAGAGAGAAGGGACTCTATTTTCTTCACTGGAAGATTCATATTTCACATACTCTACTTCATCCCTGTTATTTTAATTATGAAACCACAGTATCCTCCCTCACATTAGTCTTAGTATTTGAACTGTTCTATGATTTCACTGTGAATGCCTGAACACCACAATCAGTCTTTAAAAAAACCCAATCTTAAATGGATTGCACAGCTTTACAACTACACTTTCTTATTTTTTTAAAAAAAAGACTTTCAAGTAAATCTTGCATACTGTTCAGAGAAACTTTGCTAGTTAAAAAAAAAAAAGCAACACTATGCAGCACAATAAAGGCAGGTAAGTCCCTTACAGCACGTATGAGCTGCTATGAGCAAGCTGCACAAAAAGAATGAATGGCTGAGGAGTGTAGAGTGTATGCAGCTGGTTTAGTTTGTCATTTAGATGAAGTCACCTTTCTATTTAAGGATGCCTCTTTCTATAGAACTCTTGAGGAAAAATTCATAAGGGCTGCACTTGGGAGACAACTTAGCATGTCAGCTTTAGATCTGAACTAAAACATACTCAAAAGACATATCAAAATATAAAAATTGTCTCATAAATTTCTAAATTTGACAATTTAAATAAATTGGTGAAGATATTTAAATCCCAGAGTTTCATTTTTAAGAAAGCAAGCTGGACAGTAAACTCAAGATGGAGTATTGATCATGTAGCCACTCACAATATAAGCTCACTATGAATGTAAGACAAGAGGCTTATAAAGGAGAATCTGAGAGCTCCATCTGGCAGATCTACCAATCAGAAACAGGGAAGACTGAAACAGAGAGGACACAGGGCAAAAAAACCCACAGAGGGGCCTCTAATAGGGTAGAGGAAACCAAAATCTTTGTGCTGCTATCCTCCAAAGAAAGGGAGAAGGTCAAAAATACTAGGAAGAGACCTGAAAACTCATGCTCTTAAAAGCTTAAAAGTGACTTAAAAGCATTTCTCTGCTTCTGTCACTGCCCAGCAGGTAGACCTAGACAAGGCAGAGGATGATCAGCAGTGCTGGTCCTGGACCCTGCACCTTTAAGCCATTTCTCATCAGTCATAAACTCCTGTAGTTTGTCTGACCCAGTTTCAGTGGCATGAGATTCACTGAGTGGGCAACTTTACAGTGACAAGAAAAGTGGTAAATAGGCTCAAGCTCCTGACATGTTCAAAGAACTTTGACACACTACCTAAATCATCAGGTTCAAACATGGAAATAATGTGGGTAATTTTTTACTTAGTTACCTGCATTTCTAAAAAAGTTTCAGTGCAGGTCGTATTAGTAAAAGTGCTATGAAGGTGCACACGCATGGTCTTCAGTAACATGGAAGCCTAAATTTCTGTTCAAGGGAAGCTTAACATCTTGCTCTAGGAAAACTCCTTTGAAAGTCAGTTTCTTAAACTAATTTCTTCAGTCCTCTAAATATTTAGCCTTCTTATATAGCTATTTTCTGCTAATACACAGTTGAATAAAATCCTTCACTCAAAAAACCTGCAAAAAATTACACATTTTAATCTGTCTCAGAGGAACACGAAGAGTTAATAAGTTTTGAGAGACTTCCAAGACTTTTTTTATAACACCTTGTTGATTTAACAAAAAGAAAAAAACCACAAATATGTACAGGGGATATCCCTTTCCAGGAAAATCTCAATCTCAGACAGCAGAGATGTGGATTAATTATCACACATCATGCTAGAGTGAGAAAAACTTGGTGTTATATTTTCAATTTCAAACACAAGCCCTTAACAGTTCGCTGAAAAAATAAATCACCTTCTGTTTTAAAGAAATTAAATTTAAGTGCAATTCTTGTGAAACCTTGAAATTTTATCCCAGGGGTTACTCATTTGCTCTTCCAAGATTACACCTGGAATATGCATTTTACAGTTGTGCAGAAATTTTTTCTCCAAAGCTATGGAATCAAAATTCTAGAAAGACATCTTTTTTTTCTCTGCACCCAGGCTTTCTTTAAAGGATACACAGATGACCAATCCTATATTCAAATTTCCCCTGAATTTGATGTTTTTTCCAAGTCTTTAAATAACAAATTACTAAATAGATTTTATGATATTAAAGAAGTTCTGCGCTATGAAATTTTAGAACCATTGTAATTGTTCTTATATTTTTTGGATTTAAGAGACAGCAAACTAGATGGAATACGGATGCCTGTTTCTGTTGGCACGGTGTCAATAAGACTTGCATAGCAAATAAATACAATAATAGTAAGAATCTGCCAAAAGGATAGAAAATTACTGGAAAGCTTTTTGTTTGATTTCTTAAAATTCAAATGATTAACCTCATGCACAGCTTTTGCTTTGTTTAAATTTGGTGGTGTTACAAAAATTGCCGTTTTCCTCATCCAAAAAACATTCATGATTTGACTCTAAAAGTAGCCTTGTTCATATAGCCATATGCTAACACAAATTAAGAAACTGCGGATTCAAATACTGGGTTTATTAACTACCTAGAAATGCAGGAAAATAGCTAGATCTTGGTAAAACATTCATACGTCATTATCAACACTGCACCAGCTATATGGCCTTCAAAAACAAATTACTTTTAAACCATAACTATAGAAATTAGCCCAATTTCTTCCTTCTTCTCTTCTAAGCACCTTAAATGTTTACCTTTAACTTCTGGACAGAACTCAAAGTCGTTAAATCTTCTTAAGCTGATGGAAATAATTCCAGAGCCCTTCCCAATCTGCGATTGTTTTTGCTATTAAATTCTACAGAGTTGAGGCTTACATCTGCTATGAGTCACTGGGCTGGAATGCTGCTGAGAAGTTGCAGTTATCAACACTAAATTGCAACATAAGAAGGAGATGACGGTAATTCTGGGCCTAACACAACCCTGCTGAAACAAAAATAAACCAAAAATAATAAAGGATCATCTATTCCCCTTCACTGTTGTGATTCAGGAAATTGCTCTCTGTATCATACTCAGCTTTATAGTTCAGTCCTTTCCATAGTGACAGCCTTAATCTCTTAGTCTTCAGAGCTACATAGACAGCATAACAGACTCAGTGGATTTAAGAAAAAAGACAATAATCACTCAGACTAGAAGTTACATGTCAGAGGCGTAACAAAAAGAGAAATATGCTAACTAAAACCTAACCCAAAGTAACAAACATAGCACAGATAAAGCTGAAGGGAACAAGAAAAAAGTACCAAAATAACCTTGTCTGATGCGTTTTTTAGTCAAGACACTGAGAAGCACAGCATCTCAGTGACTTCATCAGACAAAATCACTTTCTAGACAAGCTTTTTAGAGCCAGATGAATACATCAAAGAATGTTTTAAAATACAGTCTGTTCTGTGTGTTTGCCCTTCTATGCTGGCTCTTGCCAAAGAGTTCAATAAATGAATATGCTTAAAGGAATGTGCTGGAAGAAAAGAAGTCTAAAGGAAATACTGAACAATAGCCATAAAATGAGATTTACATTCCACAATATAAATACAGAATCATAGAATGACCTGGGTTGGAAAGGACCTTAAAGGTTATCCAGTTCCAAACCCCCTTCTGTGGGCAGGGACACCCTCCATGAGACCATGTTGCTCAGAGCCACATCCAGGCTGGCCTCAAACACTCCCAGGGATGGGGCATGTACAGTTTCTCTGTCCCACCACCCTCACAGAAAATAATTTCTTTTACTATCCAATCTAAACCTACTCTGTGTCAGTTTAAAGTCCTTCTCCCTCATCCTGTCACTACATGCCCTTGTAAGCAGGCTCTCTCCATCTTTTTTCAGAATCACAGAATGTTCTAAGTTGGAAGGGACCCACAAGGATCATCGAGTCTGGCTCTTAAGTGACTGGCCCATACAGGCATCAAACCTGGAACCATGGCATTATTAGCACCCACACTCAGACCAACTGAGCTAATCTCTGGGTCTTGTATTGCCCTTCACTCACCTCCTATTGAAGACTAATACTTGCAAACTTCCTCAGAATAATTTCTGGTGCATTATTTGGAGTCTGGTTACCTGGCAGTACTTCTCTTTACTCATTACATTACATCCAGTAATTAAATTCATATTCTGAATTTCAAATCTTTATTAATTACAGTAAATTACTCCTGAGAAACCTACAATAAGAATCATTCAAAAATGCAAAATAATTCAGCAAGTAACTTTTACTGAGGATCTTACTATGACTAATGACTGTTACAAGGAGGGACAAACCTGTTCATAGTACGACTCCTAACCAACAGTTACTCAGAGGGTGGGCTCTGAATTTAGAAAGTGGAAAAAAGGCATAGCATTTTACAATTGAATTTTTTAAATAAATAAATAAATAAAATTAATTAAATAAAGGAAAAAAAATATTGAGGGTTATAAGTAGATTGTCCATCACTTGAGGGATTTAAACAAAGACTAGATGGCTAAAATACATGATTATGGTTCAGTCAAACAAGAATTATATACAGTGTCAAATCAGAGATTTGTTTAATTCAAGTCTACATGCTACCCATCATCAGAATAGTTTTGGAAAAATAAACATACTAAATACAAGACGTTCAAAGAATATACAAATGTACGTCATATAAGCACAAAAGGAAGAAATGTCTTTTTAGACCTGTTGAATATATTCAATACTGAAAACTGGCAAATGTTTGTGAGAGGCTGGACTGGCTCAAAACATTTCAGGCTCCTGTGTGATGAAAGGGGCAGACCAAGTCTTGCCTTGGCAAGGCAACTCTCTGCTCCACGCCCCCCACCCCTGGGGCCTGTATCCCAGCCCCCAGAGGGGCTGCCAATCCCTGGCACACCAGAGACCGTGCTCTACACCTGCCCCTGGAGCCCCTAACCCAGCTCCTGAGTGGCTACGAGACCAGAAGTTCCACCTGGGGAAGGGGCCCAGGAAAGCCAAAATGTACCTTAGCCAGAGCACAAGGCATGCATATTGTCTTGACCCTGCCTCCCTTGGATTTTGATCAGCTGAAACACTGCTGGAACCAGGAGTAGTAGCTATATTTGTATCTCTTCTCCCTTTTGCTTTTTTCTTTCCCTGACTCCCTTTTCTCAAAGTTTGAGTAACTTAAAATCAGGTGGTTTGGAATTTGCTTGGTTGAATGGGCTTAGAGTTTGCTAAGTTATTGCTTTGTGAAATGCTTTATGTTGATTGAATGTTGTTTCCAACTTTTTGCCAAAGTTCCCTGATTTTCTGAAGTTTGACAGTAGAGTTTCTGTTGTTTTGACCTCTTGAAGAATATCTTGCTGATATTTTCTGGCACACATCTGACACAGGGTACATAAAAGAATCTTCATGTGTTTTAAGAAATTCACTGAGTGTGATCTGAGGCTCTACAATGTCAGAGATCTTAATGTGACAGTAAATACTGGATTTTCACACAGATACTTAGATTTTCTGTTCTTTGAAGAGTTTGCAGAAAAGCGAAGGAAAACATTGCAAAGATCATTAATAATCATTCTATCATTTTTTCATATAAAGGATATATATATAAAGGATAAAATACTTTTTTTCACTTCTACTAAATCAAGATATTTAGCTTTCCTCCAAGCAAAGTAAAAACATTCAGTTGTATTATGTCCACTGTATACCTTTTTATGGATGTTTTAAAGAAAAAGGTAGCACAAGAATTCAGTAGTCCTTTTTTTCCATTATTTTAGCACTTGCAGCTGAGCACCTCTCCAGGTATTTTAATCTGACAGAAGTTTAACAATTTAGGGCAATCCCAGACATGGAAACCAGCTGGTGATGGGTAGATTGAGAGCGGAGCTTAAGAGATGGGCTTAGTGGATGAAAAACTAAATATGAGCCAGCAACATGTGCTTGCAGCCCAGAAAACAAATGGAAGCCAAAGCTGCATCAAGAGACAGCTGGAAGGTCAAGGGAGGCCCCTCTACTCTCATAATAATACCCCATGGAGTACTGCATCCAGTTGATAGGCCCTTAGCAGAGGAAAGACATTGCTCTGTTGAAGCAAGCCCAAAGGAGACCACAAAGATGTTTAGAGGGCTGAAGGACCTCTCCTACAAAGACAGGATGAGAGAGATGGGGTCATTCAGCTTGGAGAAAAGGAGGATCCAGTGGGATTTAAATGCAGCCTTCCAGTACCTAAAGGGAGCTTGCAAGAAGGTTGGAGAGAAACTTTTCTCAAAGGTATGTACAAATAGGACAAGGGGTAAGGCTTTCAGTTGAATAAAGAACAGGTTTAGATTAGATATTAGAAAGAACTTCTTTACTGTGAGGGTGGTCAGACTGCAACAGGCTGCCCAGAGAAGCTGTGGATGTCTCAACCCTGGAAGTGGTTGGATGTGGCTTTGAACAACCTGGTCGGGTGGAAGGTGTCCCTGTCTATGGCAGAGAGGTTGGAACTAGATCATCTTTAAGATCCCTTCCAAGCCAAATCATTTTATGATTCCATGATTGTAAAATCAGCAAATGCAAGATAATGTATTAATAATATGATTCTTTATCATTCAGATTCAAAAGAAGTTGTAAGCATACAATAAGCTTTAATAATATAAGGAACCATAGATTCTTCCCTTCTGAATTGTCACACAGGTGTTAAAAGTGAGAAAAAGTGTACCTTTATAGATTACATGTATGATTTTTATTCAGGAAAGTTTTAAATCACCTTCAGCTTGTCATGGTAGAAATATGGAAGGGTCAAAGATTGTACAACCACAACATGGTAACTGTGTTTGTCAAAATGTACTTGTACTTTATCTTTTATAAATTAATTTGTTTATGCACCTTTCTGTATTTTTTCATTTGTGTAATGCTAAGGACAAAATAGAGAATATGTAATGTATTTCACACTAGGATTGGCTGAGATTATATATTTGAAAATTTGCATCCAACACTGTAGATCTACCATAATGAAATAGTCTTTCACATGCGCTAAATCGTTACAATAATAAATTGAAAATACTTTGAAATGGAATATGATGCTTGGTTTCATAACTTAGATGCTAGGCTTTTTTTTTTCTGGGGGGTTAAAGCAAGTAAACAAACAAAACAACCCCAGAACCTATCCTGACTAGCTCTATGACAATCATGATGTCTGAATAAACTTAACTTTGGGTTGGTTTTTTTTATATGAAACAGTAATGATTCATATCACATACCAATATTTTGTTTCCAAAACAGAACAAAGCTGAAATAAAAGATAAGCCAAACTCAGCTTTATGACTAAAAAACTCTGCATGTTAGGGTTTTTAAAGGCAGCCTTCTTTCCAAAAGTGTGTATTTTTTAATAGACTGACTTAAGAACCACATGTTGTTTTTAAGTAGTTATGATAATTTACAATGTGCTCGTTTACCAAATGCTATTATATCTTCCCTTTTAAAGTGTATTCTACAAATAAAAGCATTCTGTACAAGATTCTCATATATAATGCTGTGGAGGTTTGCATAGCTGATGGATGATAAATGCCTTCCAACATCAGGCTACTGATGACAGTGAGTGCAACTCTATCTGCTTGAGTTACTTTTGATTGTTCAACAGTTCACCTATATTTACATAAGAGATGATCCCCATATCCAAGATCATAAAATGATAAAAAGCTACACTGTATTTAATTGTTTGGGCTGCTGTAAAAAATTTTATCCACTAAGCTTTTAAAAGTTAAATATAATGTTAATATTTTATGTTTCTTTGGAGACAAAACCCCAGAACCTATCATACTTACTTCTGCATGAATAGATTCTGTGGATTTCTTCTTAGTAAAGCAATTTGGAATTTCAGTATTCTTTGGAATAATCTATATCAGTTTAACTGAGTCCTACTTAATCAAGTGACAGCAACTT